ATACATTTTTACTTTTAGAAATCCTTTTACCTAAACAAGAGTGGATCATCAAAGATTTCTCTTGTTACCCAAAATACACACACGATCGGTGAACTTGTGGCTCAGCTGAGATATCGTGGTGTCAATTGGAAAAAAGATAACCAAACTATAAAAAGAGCAAAGGATACCATGTCACCACCGTCTTTTACCCTAAAAGGTATAGTTTCATGATTATCATAAAAACATGTGTGGTGTGGGGAAGATAAAGTTGACACGTCATGATGCCATTTTCCCAACCAAAAAAAAAACCATAAAGTTGGCCTAAACATGTGTAACACACCATATTATTTAATGTCGAAAAATTCCAACCCGAAGCAGGGATAATCCCAAAAAGTTCAAAAAGTTAAATCATTATCTAATTTTGACCTATTTTTCCTCTTTTCTAATGATTAAGTTGAATGTAAATAGAATGAAAATGATGTCGTGACTAAACTATAGAAATTCCTCGCATAAAATAAAATCAAGAAACATAAACAAAAGCACACGAGAAAATTTTATTCGAAAATGCTGTGTAAAGTGGCTTGGCAAGGAAGTTATTAAAAAATAATTCTACACAAGCGTAGGCCTCACATCACATGTTTTAGCCTAACCCAATTGATTAGCCATTTTCTTAGTTTGCCTCTCCAAACAATAATGTAAATTGTATATGTCCTAATTGGTAGAACATACCATAACAAATTGTAAATAATAATGTTTTGATTACCTAGCATTATACAGTGTTTTTTATTTTATTTTATTTTATAACATGAAGAATGATTTGAATTTGGGATCTATTTCACCATTGAGAAAAGAGAAATATGTTTACTCTTTCAGTATTTCAACATTCGAAAGAGAAATACTTGTTTGATAGCATATCATATTATTAAATTGTAATTTGATTATTAATCCTTTAAAGAATTTGTGTTATTTTTCTAATATATCATATGGGATAATAGCTGAAATTAGAAGACCTTATAAATTCTTACTCGAAATTTTCCTTTTAATTGCATCATGGTGACTTTTCTTCGGGATGTATAAAAGTAAGGTAATTACATTTTCCTTTTCTTTTTTAAGGAAAAAATAGAAAAGTAGCATATATATATATATATATATATTTGGTCTGTACTGGCGTTCTCGTCCAAACCGATATAAGGCAGCAAAGGAAAAGCCAGAGGGAGAGGCAGAGGAAAGATATATCGAGAGACTTCATAGACGGAGAGTGTGAGAGTGTGCGTCTATTTATACAGTTTATACTGTTTCTCGTTTCCCGCTCACTTGAGGCCTCACGAAAACCCAATTTGTCATCAACCTCAGGCAAGATCAATCCTTCTCTTTTCTCTCTCTCTCTCTCGCTCTCTCGCTCTCTCTGTGTTTCTGCTTCTCTCTCTACATCTATCTGCTGTACGTTTCCCTCTTTATTTCTTTGTAATCTTTTCCCCTCTGCAACTTCTTAAGAAAATAATGTGGCTTTTATTCTCTCTTTTTAGATTTTTAATTTTAAAAATTAATTTTCCTAATTTGTCGAAACAGAGTCGCTCTCTTGGGACTCTCTTTTGTCAATGACTTAAAACCCTAGTCCTTCCGTTTGTTTCCCCGGAAAATCGTGGCCAAGAAAATCGAGTATGTTCCATTTCTTTATCGCGAAGTGTTACCAAAACTTCACTATGTGTTAATTGTTGAAAAAGTCGAAACGTATGCTTCTTTTTTCCAACGGTTGCTCGGCAGCCAAACAGAATTTCAGAAGGGATTAGTGCGATGAATAAGTGGACTTCTATATCAATTTCTTTTTCTTTGAATGCCGTTTCTTGTTTTTGGTACTTGTCGGTACAGAGGATTTGAATTACAAGGTTTACTGTTTGTGGGGTTTTTCTCGGTGGTTAATATGTTTTTATTTGTCCTGACGGTGTTCAGTACTTTACTCTGCGGTGTTTGACTGGAAAGTTTAAAAATAATATATTTTTCTTTGTTGCTGAGGTAATGCTGGAAATTGTATAAACCAGAAATTTAGTTCCGTTTATAAAAATACTATTTGGGACCCATGCTCTTTAATGAATTAAATAGATCTCAGATGATTCTTTCTCTCCTGTGATGGAGGTGCAATCTTTGTTTTCTTGCGTGATTGATGTGTTTAACTCATGATCTAAGTGGCAGATAAAATGGCCTTTTTAGTTTGATATGATTTTGTTCAATTTAGATACAGAAATGGAAAAGATCTTGCATTGATTATGGTTTTAAGCCTAGCGTATTCTCAGTTAAGATTCATTTGCAAATCAAGCTTACTTTAGCAAAAAGATTTCAACTTTCCACTTTTAATTATGAATGTGGATTTAAATTAAACTCCTTTGCTTGGAATCGTTTCTGTGAATGTTCTTCTGGTATGTCGCTTTTTTCCCCCTTTGTTGTAGAACAAAACTATGGTCTCATTGTCTGGATTAATCTTATTGTATAACATAGATGCTTTAAGCTGGTGCAACATGAGTGTGTTTATGCTTGTGTGAAAAGTCGTTTTTGATTCTCAAAGACGGTTTTTTTTGTGTGTGTGTGTGTGGATATTTTCTTTTTCCTTATGAATATCTATTGATTGTTAGAGACTGGAGACGGAGAAGAAAAAGATAATATATGGAGGGCGGCGCAGGAAGAGGTTTGGAATGCCAGAAGACTATGGATGGGAAGGCGAGTAACGGGAATGGTTCAGAGAAGGCCATCCCTTCTTGTTGCTTGAAGGCTAGGGCTTCTGCCCCTGAGGCTGAGGCGAAATGTCATTCTACTGTTGTTTCTGGGTGGTTCTCAGAATCCCAGTCTCGCTCTGGTCATTATCTATAATTTTTTTCACCTTTTTAACTCTTCTGTTTCCTAAACAGCAAACTAGTACATAGTCGTGTTAGTTGGTCCAGGAAGGTTGATATCATTGACCCCCTTTGTTTTGTTTTCTTTTTAATTGCAGAGAAGGCTAGTAAGAAGGTTTATTTCAACAACCCAATGTGGCCTGGTAGGCAACTTGCATGCATCTACACTACATATTTCATGTTCTCATTTGTAGTCTTTATATACTTGACACACACATGTTCCAGTTTTCCACTAGTGGATTGAGATTCAAGTTCCCTTTTGTGATGTGCTTTACTGAGGGTCACGACCTCTTGCTCATTTTGTGATTTTTTTCATTGTCGGTATAAATTTAGGAAAACTTGCACATTAGAGGAACCCATTGTGAAATTTACACTGTTTTCCTGTAATCAGGAAAGAAAATGGAACTGAGAAACCTTTATTGCTTAAGTGATATCTTGTATTGACAACTCCATGCTCTGAAATTTTCTCTGGTAACTTGCTGAAGCTTTGGCAATAATTTTTTCTCCCCCTTTCCTCACTATTCATAGTATTTTGCTTCGTTTACGATGTTTACTATTAATGGAACTTGTTTTTGAAAAAAAACTTCATCTCTAACTTGAGATAGTTTCTATGCATCTATTTTGTGTTTGATGTTCATTTTTTTTTTATAGGTGAAGCTCATTCACTGAAAGTAGAAAAGATTCTGTACAAGGGAAAATCAGAGTTCCAAGAGATTTTGGTTTTTGAGGTTTGGGATTCTTGTCTTGGATAGTTACATTTGGTTGTTTATATCACTTGCGTTCCTTCTTTTAATCTTAATTTTCTTATCAATGACGTGTTTACATTTTATGCAGTCCTCAACATATGGAAAAGTGCTTGTTCTTGATGGCATTATCCAGCTGAGTGAGAAAGATGAATGTGCATACCAGGAGATGATAGCTCATCTACCTCTTTGTTCAATTCCTTCCCCCAAGACAGTAATTTTACACTATCCATCCATCATGTTTGTGATTTTGTGTGTGTGTAGAGTCTTGAATCTCTTGATTAGAACCAGTGACCATGAAAACACATGGTTACTACAGTTGGATCGAAATCCAATTGTTTGCATTAATGATACTACGAAATTCAAGGGGCACATAGTTATAATAATTTGACTTGGTTACAACCTGGTGATGGCTCTTTAGTAAATTTTTGTGGCTTAGGAATTTATTGATAGAATTGGGCAGCGTTCATGCCATCAGTAATTTGTGTTGTTATTGATTTCTTATTGTGATTCCAATGCTAAGTTTTATAACATTGTGGATGCAGGTTCTGGTTGTTGGTGGTGGTGATGGTGGGGTTCTTAGGGAGGTTTCTCGCCATCCTTCTGTTGAGCATATTGACATATGCGAGATAGATAAGATGGTTGTAGATGTAAGTGGTGTAATGTATCCCTCTGGGTTTTTAGTTGTAAAGAAATCTGTGCTGACTGGCTGATTATGTTTGTTTGTTTGTTTTTTCTTTCTTTTCTAGGTTTCTAAGAAGTTTTTCCCTCAGTTAGCTGTTGGATTTCAGGACCCTCGTGTCCACCTTCATATTGGTGATGGTAGGTTTAATACTTACTATTTGCTTCTCTATGTTTTATCAAAAGGTTAAGTCAAATTGACGTTGTATTTGGCTGGCTGGCTGTCTCAATCATATCTCGTTTTTATTACATGACAGCTACTGAATTCCTGAGGCATGCACCTAAAGGGAAGTATGATGCTGTAATTGTTGATTCGTCAGACCCTGTAGGTACGTTATGGAAGGCATGTTTCTTCCTGCTTACTGTCCGTGTGCCCCCCTGTCTCTTCCTCACTTAGTCTTGATCTCAATATGGAGTATGAAACTTTTATGATCTTAAGGGGTTAGATACTAGTCTTTAAATGTATGGTTTCCTTTTGATGCAGGTCCTGCTCAAGAGCTTGTAGAGAAACCATTTTTTGAGACAATAGCTAGGGCATTAAGGCCTGGTGGTGTTCTCTGTAACATGGCAGAGAGTATGTGGCTCCATACGCATCTTATTCAAGATATGATCTCTGTTTGTCGTGAAACATTCAAGGGATCTGTCAATTATGCATGGGCGAGTGTTCCTACGTATCCAAGGTAACACTGTTCTTTTTGTTTCTCATGTTAATCTACTCTCTGCCTTTATATCTTGAAATCATTTTCTTACTCCTGAGATTGCTTGTCATGCAGTGGTGTGATAGGCTTTCTGTTGTGCTCAACGGAGGGGCCTCCTGTTGATTTCAAAAATCCAGTCAATTCCATTGAGAAGTTAGAAGGAGCTCTCAAACATAAGAGAGAGCTTAGGTTTTATAACTCCGAGGTAGGAGCCATCTTTTCTAATTTCATCTTACACAGAATTCTGGTATATTGCTGCTATCTTTTGGTGTTGCTTAGATATACAAGATTCTCAGCCATATTTTGCTAAATCTGAATGTTTTAAAATTATTGTAAAGCAAAATAACAGTGTTGTTTGTTTGGCAGATGCACTCAGCTGCCTTTGCCTTGCCTCCTTTCTTGAGGAGGGAGGTGAGCGCTCTATGCCATTCTTCAACCTCAACCCTGCCAAGATGAATCGGCTGAGGAGTAGTTATTAGTAGCAGCATCCGTTGCTTCAGTTTCCTGATAGTCAAAGTGGGTACATGGAAGAAATAGAAGCTAGGTTAATTATTACATTTTTAGTTAAGTGTAGATGAGATGGGGGTTCATGAACTCTCTGCCTTTAGAGGCACATTTGGTCGGATTTCAACGGCCTCCAGTAATGGGTTCATGAACTCTCTGCCTTTAGAGGCACATTTGGTCGGATTTCAACGTCCTCCAGTAATTATTTGTGGATGAACATATATGAATATCCCTTTGACATTATGTGTTATTGTTAATCTGCTCAGGTGGTGATGGAATAATTATGAATCAGTCGTTAAGTTTTTGATTTATCATAGCTATTTTCTTTTTCCTTCTTTCCTTTCTCTTTGATTGTGTTCGTAATTTGTTTACAGGCCCAGTGGGCCAACAAATAAGCTAGGCCAGGCCCAGTAGGCCATCAAAGGGTGGTCTTCATTGTTCACAGGCCACGGAAAAACCTTTGGTTAATGTCGTACAGTACTGAACAAAAAGTGAAAGAGCACATTTTGGTTACAAGAGGACTTGTCTGCTATAACACAACAAAAGTGAACTGTTGTTCATAAGAAAAATAAAAATAAAAACGAGAGAGCTCCAAGGGAACTAACTAGTAGGGATGCATAATATACCTGATTCTTGGAGTGGAGTTCTCAGCACCACCTGCTGCTGTAGCGGGTTGTCCCTGTCCCTGTCCCTGACGATTGTATTCCCCCAGAGTTGGCATTTGGAGACGACACTAGTCAAGTCCGTAGACATGAGTACAAAGCCTTCCACCTTGGTATGGCATTGCACATTTTGGGTGGAGATGGGAAGTTTTGGTGATGAAGATGATGCCCACTTGAGAAGTTCTTCTCCATAAAACTCACCTTTCGTCTTAACCGAGTTGGTCAGCATTCCACCCGGCATGTACGTCCATATCAAACCTTCTGTAATGAAGAGCATCCAATCAAGTGGTTGTCCCATTCGAACAACTACGCTGTTCTCGGCGTACATAACTGGCTTCAGATAGTCGCAAATCATTTTCAACACCTTTTCATCCATGCCTTTAAGCATTGATACCTATTGTGCATATTAGCTTAATTAGTTATACCGTAATTACATCACTTAGAGAGGGGTACTGAGTGAGGAACATACTTACCTTAGCGTACTCATGCAGAGAAAACGCTTTAGAGATTTCTTGGTATGCCAAGGAAGAATAGAGAACAGCTTCTCCAGATCAGCAACATCTATGTTTTCTTCCAATTGTTGTCTTATGTTTTTCTTGATTTCATTCTTCATATCTTGAGGGGAGATCATTTTTGACCATCCACTCTTCTGTCGCTTGCTCTTTCTTCTTAATCTTCTGTCTTGTCTCCTCCGATTTTGTAGTGGCCAACTGCATAAATGTCTACGTTTCACAATAAACAAACAAACAAACAATTAGGTTAGCTAGCTTCATCGACCAACTCCTCAAATCCTAGCGACAAGGCACATATATTTATGTATAATTGAGAGATTCATATATAATTATACCAACCTGCACATTTCCTGTGAGATATAAAAATAGCAGCAAGCCAATGGTTGAAATAAGAATTGAAAACAAGTTTTCCCACACATGATTCATATATAATTATACCAACCTGCACATTTCCTGTGAGATATAAAAATAGCAGCAAGCCAATGGTTGAAATAAGAATTGCAAACAAGTTTTCCCACACATACGTACTCGTTGTGAGATTTGTACCAAAGTTACTGCAAAAAAGCAATTCAAGGATGATCAAGAACAAGAAGGTTATAAACAAAACAACGTTTTCAGCTTAATTATTGCTCGACAAAAACAAGATATATATAATTTCTACTACTCATTGTGCACACCTTAAATTTCGTAGTCCCCACCAAAACGAGTAAAAGAACTTCATTGGAAAATTCAATGTCGCCGTGTTTCCAGATTGAAGTGAATCAAGAAACATTCCAAAATCAAATGGTGGTGTAGCATTTGGTGGAAAATTTATAGGACAAAACTCATTTAGAAACGAGGTATTTCTGGGGGTTGTGGTAGGGTCGTCACAGTAAAAAGTAGTCATGCATGATCCTATGCTATGCTTCACTCATGCCCGATTCCATCATGATGTCTCCCGTTGAATAGAAAAAAAGTACCAATAAGCTCCGAGCACCTAATAGACAACATATTAATTACTGACTTACTTTAAAATTAAATCCTCTGCAAATTGACCATGGAGAAGAAAAACTTACATGACTAGCGAGTATGTATAGAAAAAAGTTGAATGCACCTTTGGCCCATAGTCCGGTTTTTGTAAGTTTCTTAGAGGAGAGGTGAATTCAATAAATTCTTGGAAGATATTGGGCAAGAAGAAGGAAACTTAGAATCTTTCTATTATCCAAATATCCAGAGCCTCTCATTTTGAAAAAACCATTCACTAAAAGAACCTGAATATACAAAACATATAAACCTAGTTAAACCTAGCTAACTATATATAAATTTACACCAAAAAACTATAGTTAAAAGTTAACTTTTAATCGTCTTACTTTGTGGGATGGGAAGAAGAGCAAGAACGTCAGTAACAACAGAGCGCCATGAAAAATTTCGAGCAACTGCCTGAGCTTTTGATTCCCAACCGGAGTTTCGGGTTGTTTGTAGCTTGGAGTTCACAGTTGTGAAGGCTTGTCGAATTTGACATATAATATGCACTATGAAAGTGATATCCAAGAGGGACCGCAAAACAAGTGCCACAACCCTCAAATTTTTGTCCATTCCAAGGCACTTGTGATCTTCATCGATGAATGGAATGTAGAAGAACAAAGGGTCCAATGAGACTGAAATCACACATGAAATTACAAATATTTGGTTCCATAATGGAATATTTGCAACAAGTTTATCAAATCTTGGCCTTTCTGAAGCTCCTCCAAGTTGAGTACCGCCCAAAGTGTAAGGTGTTAAGCTGAAACGAAAATGCAAATCAGAAAGGGGAACAAAAACATAACATAACAAATTTGTGTCATAAATGAATTGAGACCCGATCGGCGGAGAAACTAACCTTACTTGAATGGTGGGCTGATCATGCAAGTTACTCATAATTTAAACCTCTTTATGTTTGAGAGGATATGTATCAAACTATTTAGCTTCTGAACAAGAATTGAAAATATATATAGAATTGAAAGCAAATGATTTGCAATATGGAAGAGAAGAGTGTTCAATTATAAAGACTTGCGATATTCGATATTAGCTAGCATTATTAATTTGGAATTTTAAAATAAAAGAGATGGGGTGGAATAAAAAACCCAGGGCAATGTGTATATATAAGTGGAGTCTTGTTTGTAGTAGTCGTTGACGAAGAACTTGTCCAAGTCCTTACCCAATATTAAATTCCCTTCCTTCCTTCCTTCCTTCCTTCCTACCTTCCTTAAGAGTCGTCCATCCATGCCATACAAATTACAATTAACCTAGCTACGTCGATTATCATTTTTAATTTGCCAGTTGCTTGGTAGAGTTGACAAAGGTGACAAATGCAACAACCGATGGAGGAATTAATGCATAATTTAGGTTCAAATTGTTCTTCTTTATAATAAGGAGGGAGTCAAACTTAATCATGCATGCAAGTTGCTACTTTACTAAAAGCTTGTTGAGGAAAATTTAGAGTACACAACTCTAATTTAGATTTGTTGTTGACAAAACAAGTAAACAATTTATTTGTATTAGACTTACAAAATATTACAACAAGATAACTCTCAAAAGGAAAGACAAATTCTTACAAGGACTCTTTCTCACTTCACTCACACTTCTCATTGTTCAATTATAAAGACTTGCGATATTCGATATTAGCTAGCATTATTAATTTGGAATTTTAAAATAAAAGAGATGGGGTGGAATAAAAAACCCAGGGCAATGTGTATATATAAGTGGAGTCTTGTTTGTAGTAGTCGTTGACGAAGAACTTGTCCAAGTCGTTACCCAATATTAAATTCCCTTCCTTCCTTCCTTCCTTCCTACCTTCCTTAAGAGTCGTCCATCCATGCCATACAAATTACAATTAACCTAGCTACGTCGATTATCATTTTTAATTTGCCAGTTGCTTGGTAGAGTTGACAAAGGTGACAAATGCAACAACCGATGGAGGAATTAATGCATAATTTAGGTTCAAATTGTTCTTCTTTATAATAAGGAGGGAGTCAAACTTAATCATGCATGCAAGTTGCTACTTTACTAAAAGCTTGTTGAGGAAAATTTAGAGTACACAACTCTAATTTAGATTTGTTGTTGACAAAACAAGTAAACAATTTATTTGTATTAGACTTACAAAATATTACAACAAGATAACTCTCAAAAGGAAAGACAAATTCTTACAAGGACTCTTTCTCACTTCACTCACACTTCTCACTAGAACTACTTAGCTCTATAGCTCACTCTTATTGTTGACACACTTCACTTCTTGATTGATTGATTACATTGACAAGCTTCATGCCTATTTATAGAGGTAGTAACCGACTTTGACAAAAGATCTTGTAGTTTCTAGGAATTTTTAGGCGGTTTGGTGTTGCTTACTTTGCTGGACTTCACTTGAGAATTCTAGATTGTTCTAGTTTCAATCTGCCAACTTGCTTAGCCACTCCACCGACTTGAGCATTTACTTCAGCTATTGTTTTCTCCTATGTATTATTCTAGATATTTCTAATGGTATTATCACCTTGTTGTTTACACTTCTAGAACCTTGTAGAAATTGCTCCTCAAAATGGGTTGAGCTGGGGTTGATACTTTAACAAAGCTTACAATATATTCTCTTCTTCTTATTTTGGTGTGGATATAAAGTCAATCAAACTCCATAGCTAAGCTGTCTTACAATTTTAAATTCATTAATTAAGCTTCTATAAATATCTTCTCCAAGTATCCCGAAACCATTGACCATAATTTCCAATTAATCTAACAACAACTTCTTTCGTTTGACAAACATTGGTATTTTATTATGTCATGCGCATTTCATTATTTTTTGGGCATAGGGCATAACAAGTTGTTAACCTGGGCCAAGTAATGAGCCAAATGAAGAAATTAAACAAAACAAAACCCAGATTAATCAGTAGATAAATTGGATTGAATTGGAGAAGATGCACGAGGTCTTTATTTGAATTGGAAA